TATGGCAATCCACAGCATACATTCGGCTTAACTTTTATTTTAGAAAGGAGCAGTGTCCGGCCAGTGTAATTTTCGCAAACTTGATATATTACAGTGCCTACTTAAAACGGCAATAAGACAGTCCTTTACAGTCCAGCTGTTGCCTCTTCAAATCTTTTTATTACTTTTCTTTTCTGGTTTCCAGACCAGTCGATTGGCCATTTTATATGATACCCGGGAAATAATAATAATAAAGAATAGTCGTGCGCCTGATGGTAAGCTACACGCCTGTCCATAACAGTTGCAGTGCTACTCAGCTCTTTAAATCGCAAAGATCTGATCTCACCCGTCACCCTGAGACTTAAGTTGACAAGTCCCATATATTATCCTTCAAAACCGGAACACAGTAATGCTAACACTACTGCCTGGCGGCAGAAATAGATAAGATGGCAGTACTTTCACAAGGAGCTCTGCTGCTACTTAAAACTCATACTTTGTAGTGATTTGACTTCGCTAAAGTCCAGGCAATAATTGTAGTCTCTAAGTTGAAGACATTTGAAGGTTATTAAAATTAAAAAATTCTTAACACATGTATATGCTGTATACGCAATACTATAGCAAACCCTGATATATCTTTTCATTCCCTCGCAATGTACAAACATGTCATTTTAAAATACATGTCTGCGTACGTACCCAATTAATTGTGTAATGTCCTTTAATTTCTGATGATTTAAACTTAAATTTAGATTAATTTTTTCTGCCATTAATATTCTTCTTTTAATATTCATTATTACTCATAAGTTGGGCTCTAGGTGTTAGTTATAGAATGTTGTGTTCACCTGTAACTGGCTTGTGTATGTATGTTCTTTTTTTAAGTTGTTTGAATGTATTAATACACACGCTAACGGTGTGCCTTTTGAAAATAAATAAATAAAGAAATAAACACGTTCGTAAATTGTTTTTAATAGGTATATAATTATAAATTACACAATTACATTATTATTTGTAGTTCACAGAAATATCAACCTAATTTAAAATATATACAGCCGCATTCATCATAACCAATCGCATCATATCGTATGTCATCGAGGTCGTTATTATGCACAGTATGCGTCCATTTTCACTATCGTTCAATGTACCATTGTATGCGGCACTTTCTATAAATGAACTTCACCTTTAATGGTTTGAATTCATAATTAATAATGTATGTTATAATCGCGTGTGTTAGGAATTCCTTTTACACTTACGAATTATTCGTCCAAATCCTCTTTAAAAATATGTCTGATTGCTTAATTATAAATAGATTCAGTAGCAGTAGAGTTCCTTGTGAAAGAGTTCGTCCAGGGAATTACTGCCGTCTTACCTATTTGTGGCCACCAAGCAGTAATGTATGCATAACTGTGTTTCGGATTTGAAGGGCAAGGGTGCTGGTGAAATTACAGGCGCATGGGACTTATCACCATTCTCAAGGTGACAGGCGCAGTGGTAATATCCCTTAGATCTTTGCGATTTAAAACTCTGAGTGGCACTGCAACTGCTATGAACAGGCGTCACGACTTGTTCATCCTGTCACTTGGTATCATATCAAAAAAGTTTCACGAAAAATTCATATTTTTAATTATGTTTCATAAATGTTGAGTATTGCACTACTTACAGGACACAATGTAAATTTTGAACTCGTCATGCGCCCTATAGATACACGGTTTGTAACGCGTATCGTTAGTACTTACTTACCCACCCAACTTTGCTCGTCAATTTTCTCTATAAATAACAGTCTCTTTGCAGCTTCCTTGCCCAACGCATTAGCATAGCAATACAAAAGGGGAACGCTACCAGCATCTTGGGCACCTTTCCGCGGGGACACAATTTTATTCATATAATTTAAAAATCGTACTTTTCCTTTCTAGTATTTAAGCTTTTGTTGTCTTTTTTACCTTCATCATCGCCGTCCACAGCCTGATTTCACCCACTGCTGGGTATAGGCCTCCTGAGGTTTGTGCCATCCACCACTGTCCCATGCTAGCCGCATCCATTGTTACCCCGCGACGCGTACTATATCGTCGACCCACCTTGCTACAGGGCGCCCGATGCTCATAATCGGTCTTCCGTGCGAATCGTCTTAGCATTATAGCATGCCAAGTTCAGGGTCGTTGGGGTTTGGCAGCTGAGCATCTTCCAGTGATTCTTCGCACCCTCTGCCCTGCCGGAACCATGGCCGCTGCAGAACCAGGAAATAGCGGGGCTGCTGGGGACTCAGAGCCGTAGCGTATTAGCACTTATCATAACAATGGGGGTTTAGCCATAAAACGCCGCGCTGGCCAGTGCGTCGTGGCGAGTTTTGCGTCCCTATTTCACCTTATCTGTATATTATCAAAATAAAAATATAATAATAATCTCCTATAATTATATTTAATAACCCACGTATACTTAGATATATTTCTCTCTAAAACAAGAGACATGATTCTATTATTCGCATACAAAACAAAACATATGCAGTACGCGTTGCAATAGTTTTTTTATCAAATTAATTATAACCACAAGACAATAAGAGTAATTGCGTATCCGTTTTGACATGGTAGACATAATAAATTATAAGTGCCTTCATCTCAATGTCACTCAGACTTTAAGCGACTCTAGCGCAATGCGTATGTCAGACGCCCACTTACAACCTTGTCAAAACTAGAGCACTTAATAAACACACTGATAAAATCCTTATGAAGACATTAACATCATTTTTTTTAAAGATGTATATAGATATAGTAGCATGTGACCAAGAGCGGTGTGGGAGAACAGGTCCTTCTCGATTGGGAGATACACAATCACTGTGGCAGCAGCTCGTACCTGTGACTTTAATTTCTAAATTATGTTCATTGTCTCCGCTGTGGCCGAACGGTTACCATTTTTTTCTTTTTTTTTTTATAATGTCAAGTGACGGGACAAGTCGAAGAAGTCGTGCGCATGATGGTAAGCTGTCCATAACACGCCTATATAATACGACTGGCCATAACAATTGCAGTGCCACTCAGAGCTTTAAATCACAAATATCTGAGGGGAAGTTGACTCTTCAAAACGGAACGCAGTAATTATCACATTACTGCTTGACGGCAGTCGAACTGTCATTCTGGTTGGAGGCACTTTGTAAAAATTCAGGTGACAAAATTTGAGAAGCAGACTGTCAGACCTGGACGCGAAACGTGATGCTCTCAAGACTAACACATCTGCAGCCATCTTTTACTACTTTGTCCAGGGTGTAATTACGTGTCGCCACTGTTTACAAACATTTACCAATTAGATTGTCTACTGTAGCCTATACCTAATATCAAAGAGCAAACAACCGTATCTCTAATCCGAAGCCGAAAAAACCGGCTAGGATATACACACACACATCTTGACGGCAAAAAAGGTAAAGTGGCAGTACTTCCCTGGACGAACTCTTTCTCAAGGAGCTTTACTGCTGCTACCATGCTTGTTCATGGGTTCGATTATCGAACCGGGAGAAATATTTGTATGGTCTACATTTATTTCTCTCGTGAGTTTGGGCGTAATTAGTGGTTATCTGTGTGTATGTCCATGGCATCCGACTTAGGGTTTCCTTAGTGGGGGGCTATGAGTGCTTGTAAATATTTAGTAGCAATAGCTCTCGCTAACGGTAACGGTTAACTGTCTCCGTGACCGAACGGTTACCATGCCGAACTGCCACGCAGAGGTCCCAGGTTCGATTCCCGGGCCGGGAGAAATATTTGTATGGCCTACATTTATTTATCTCGTGAGTTTGGGTGTAATTTGTGGTTGTCTATGTGTGTGTCCGCAACACAAGGTTTCCCTAGTGCGGGGCAATATTGAGTATGAGCGTTATAAAGGAAAACTTCATGACAAAAGCTGCACGTAAAAGAAGGTTAAACTCTTGGGAAACGTGAGGAGGCCCTAACTCTCATCGGGCCAGCGTGGCGAACTATGGCTTAAAACGTATAATTAGAGAAGCAATTAATGGCCAGCAATGTCCAGTAGTGAGACATATGTACATATAATGGGTTGGCGATGTTGATGATTGATAAGATGTTTTTTAAACTTTCAGAAATACTTTGTAGAAAATTGCTACATATATTGCTATTGCTAATACTTTGTTGAAAAGCAATACTATACAAGTATCTATGTTGAAAGTAATTGATTAGAATTAATGAGTCTCCACCCAAGATCATTCAAATTTGACAAAATTCGCAATGTCACCTGAGCTACAGACAACTCTCTCGATCAGAGTTTGCTTCTAAATTAAAATTGCCCCCAACTTTATTAAAGAATTTTACCTTTACAGAGTGTATCTAACACAGGAATAAACATATACATTTCTGTGATAAGCATTTTACATGTTTTTCCTTCATTAAGCGCTATTATAAATATAAAAAAAAAACATTCCAAAACTTATTTGCTGCAACTGAAGTTTACTTTTAAAATTTATTTTCGCACCCTTGGTGTAAGAAGACCACATCTGAAAAATGACAACTTTTGAGGAGAAAGATTTAAAGATTGTATGAACGAAATTAGTCGATAACTTTTTTATGCCTAAATAGGAGAGTTACACATTTCCACATTTTTGTAATGTTCATGTGATATAACGTCGGGGATAGTGCAAATCCACGTATGCAATAATGGTAAAAAGCGCGTATTTGCACCAAACCAAATTTCCCACAAGAGGGATTTAACGTTATTACTTTGTTATTTCAATGGCTACGACTTTCATTTTTGCACAGAAAGTATTAATTTATGTTGTTTATGGACTAATAACAATAGATTCCCGTAAATCACCCTAATTTGGTTGCCACGACATTTACACGGATTTAATTGGGCGACTAAATCACCGTAATGGAGAGTCATAATCAAATGCTAGTTACGCGTAATTGCACTATCCCCGACGATAAGCACTTTTGATGATGTAAAAGGACACATTATCGTGGCTTTATAATTTTAGAACTGTATTATTATTTAAAATGGCAAAAATTTTTTAACTTTTTTTTCCTTTTCAGCGTTTTTGGAGCTAATTTGTGATGAAAAATGCTTAACCAAGGATTTCTGCTGCTGGTGAGTAAACTTATTCCCTTTTTAAAATTATGATGCCTCAAAAGTTCGTGGAATTACATTTATTTGCCAAGTCCCAATTCTATAAATTGAATTCATCCCCTAATTTGCCACTCTTAGACGTGGAATATTATTTGAATGGGACTAGCAACGAGGTACCACCTTTAGAACAAAAAAAATCATCAAAATTTGGTTCATATAATAATGTCGGAGTAATTGCGGAAGGGTGCGTCAAATCTGATGAATACGTCGCAAGTGCGCCTGGTTGCAGAAGGCTCGCAAGCTGCACACATTCGTTCGCTTGCCGTTCGCGCACCAGCGCTCGCGCGCTACGTATTTAAATGCATGTATGCAGTACTCATGTAGTATGCGTGCAGCGCTCATGCAGCGCATTCGCGGCGCATTCGCCAGATCTGTACGCACCCTAACGTACACTAGAAAATTATACTGGCGAACTGAGACCCTCCCCCTTTTTCTTTGAAGTTGGTAAAAAATAATTCGTGTTTGTTCGTGAAAAAATAATGTTATTAAGATCAGATTAGGTTCTTTGCTTGAGTTTATAACTTTATGTACATAACTAAGTCACTGAATTATTAATTGTAAGCACTGTGTACTCTCTTAGTTAAAATTATAATCACTTTTACTAAAAGTATAAACGAACCATAAGGCAGAAAATATACACGACACGTCCATAATATGGCAGCGACAAACTTTATTGAATAATTAGTATTTGAGAAAATATTCGTCTACTTTACGTAGCATAGCATCGTACGACGTTTATTAGACTATCTAACAAATAATGTATTTTATCACAATGGCATCTCAAAAACCCCAAATGGGTATAAAAATGGATACCTGTTTTTTATTTTGTTGGCTTATATCATTTTAACTAAATCTATAATGTGTTTCAGTTATAAGAACAGTATAAACCTCAAATTCACTCTAAAATCAATTCTTTTTGACAATGTAGAGAACGTGCGGTATTTAAGGATTATGTCATGTCCATATTCATTCAAACATTGTCTTTCGTGGCTTAAAGCGCTATTTGACTAAGACTAGCCTTCAAGCTGGTCGCCATTGCCATTTAATATCAAGGTGAACTCGATGAGTGTGTGAACTGAATAATTACGCTGGAATAAAACCTTTCGTTAGAAATACTTATTTCAACTTCGCATAGTGTGCAAACCTCTACATTTCTTCATACTATATGAAAGATGAGTAACAACACATAGTTTTGATCTACGTCTTATTTTCTGATGTATTATTTTATGTTATAAGAAATACCAGCAGTCAATATACTTACCTATAACTTCCTTAACATAATAGAGACGTGGTAAACGCGAAAATGTTACTAAAGCTAATATAAAAATAATTTTTATTATTAACTGAAGTTGCGGTCATCCCCGCCATAAGTAAATCACTTTAAAACCAAATGAATGAAATAATGACGTAAGTCGCGAAATACGTTTCAGTCAATCGGAATGTAATATGTCGTTTCAAAGATTCCAATTTATTTCTGCATTAAAACGCAATGAACCAAACGACTGTTAACATTTTATTGCCCATCTACTTGCTTCCTTGTTCCCTATTCTTTTATTTTATATTCGTGATGTAAGACTCAAAATGAATTTCTCTTTTTTGTGTTTAGTCATCACTATATATGGCAATTTATTGGGCGTATACGCGGTAAGCTTCGTTTGTTACACGAATATTTTAATTAACACACAATAACTATAATTTTTTTTTTTTGTATTATTTTGTCTTTTTATAACCAAATTTACATTTTCAGAAATACAACAAGGATGTAGTTTGTGTTATAGACATGGTACGAAAGCAATTAATACATAGTACTTAGTGATATTACCAATCATATTTTCGAATTTCGTATTACTTATAATTTTGTATTTCAAATCCTTTTGTATTTCGTATCCGGTTAATCTCGTCAAAGTACGCGTATTTCTTATGAATAATACGCTTTTAATTCTTACGTCAAAAATTTAACATAAGAATCACGACTTAAATAACAAAAACATGAGTTGTTAAAAAAGCGTAATCTTTTTTTGTGTCATTATAGTTAGATCTTTTATTAAGACGTACATTTCAGGGTGCAGAACCCGTGTGTGCGGCCATGGAATCGCCAAACCGCCGTTTTAGCGCAAGAAGAGACAATATACCACTACATGACCCATACATACCTAGATCTCATTCGTTATTCTACAATTGTTCAGCCCTGCAATGTGAGCCTATACGATTGATTTCCCTCATTCAATTAACGTCTCCAAACACAAACCTCAAAAGTTGTTACAGTCAAGCGGGGCAATTCGAATGTGAACACACAAGGTTCCAGTATTTTAAAACAGTTGACAAATTACTATTTTTAAACAAGAATATACAAAATCGAACATTTTACCTGGTAGATTGTTTAGTCTTCCATGAAGGTGGACGGGTGTGTCATAGAAGAGTAAAAGATGATACACATACGCGTTTAGTTGACTTTGGAACATTAGTCAGACCGAATGAAACCAATGTACTGTCGCAAGAAGAGTTTTTATGCGAAGAAAACGATAACAAAGAAGTTAATTGCGATCTTGATCCATACGTACCATTTCATGAGGGGTTAAAGAAGAAAGAAAGCTATAAAGTAAGGGGAGATGTTATGTTGAAAAGCGGCGCTCACGCGTTGGTGCTTACATATAATTGTATTGATTCTTGGTGCGGCTTTAGTGGCCACGTGCCTATATTGAGGAGAAGCGATTGGTTCGATCGTTACGAGCCTCCGGGAGGCAAAATATTCCGTTGTTATTATGCTAACAGACAACAAGTCTGCAAAATCATCGGTGACAGCTACACTAACTAAATATGTCGCTAATAATGGCCCTAACGATTGGCTTAGTAAATAATGCGAATTTTATTTACTGTGTTTATTATAAACCTATTCAATTAATTAAAGATTAAATCGTTTTCGCTTACAAATTTAAATAGCTTCTATATTAACATAAATATCGAACACTTAGAAAAAAGTCGTTCGATCCGGCCGGATTCGAACCGTCTACGTCTCCTAGAAAATCGTGCCAGACGTTATGCCAACTAAGACACGGAATGAACCAGCGGACCTTACGAATTTTTCTATGTGCTTGTTGTCGGATCTTTCTCTTTGGTTTTTAAAGTGTTTTTGCCGTAGCGTTAATTGTGAGAAATCTATGTAAGTATTTCTTCGCCCAGTTAAGTACCTTTACAGCTACCAGCACCTGGCTAGAGAGTTGTCGCTTTAATGTAATTAAGTTTTTATTGAATGTCAGGAAACATCCTGACATTCAATAAAAACTTAGCTTTTATATTGTTGAAATTTAATATTTACGCTTGGTGATACATAGGTAGTTATGAAATGTATTGACATCATTCGAGCGTGTAAATTATTTCGACTATTGAGTATCAGTACATTATATATGAACAGTATTACAATACGATGTTACCTAACATTTGAGATAAATTAAGATAATGCGTTTTTTGTGTGCGTAATCACTGAATTCGATCTCTTTGGTTGGTAAACGGCCGTGATTAAACTATAGACACTATTAGATATCTACCTACCGCACCTATTTATTCGTAAGTTCAATTACATCAGGTACACATCGACGAACTTACCTTTAATGTAAATTGTGGCGCTAGCATTGCCTTGGTAACAACTTCTAGTTTATTTGACATTTTTCAACATGCACTGGGCGTCGTGGCAATACAGATAAACCAGTTCATCTAGATATACTTTCATTTTCAGATTATTCTGATTTTAGTTTTTACTTTCTTAACTCATAAAGATCTTTAAAATAAAAACAATTTCAAATAAAGATCACAACTTACATTTCATTTTTATTTCAATTATATTACAAAATTGTCATAATTTTCCTCATACGCCATTTATTACAACGACTTTCATAAAAATTTCGTCTGGACTAGTCACACCTGTTTGAAACAATTTGTGGAACAATAGCGCAGTGGGAGTTGTAGCTTATTTCAGTTATTGTCAATATTGTAATACTACAAGAACAACGCGAATAGTCATCATTCATTGCCAAGAAATTGCCTTAAAATTCTAAATATTCTTTCACAGAAATTAAAAATTTCATCGACAGAATGTTTTCTGTTACGAAAAAAAGACTTCTACGTCAATTTCATGATATAATTTATTATAATTTGCAGGGTACTCTTAAATGCATGTAAAAGTAACGTTAAACTAGGTAATTCAGTTTGGAGTAAACGAGAATGAACCTCGGAAGTCTGCCGTTGAAAAAAGATTTTCGCGAGCACAATGCGCATTCTTGTCAGATCGTTAGCACACTGGGAACGCCACACGTTTCTTGATACTCTTACAGATAACCCTTATAATACTACTACATACCTACCGTTATTGTAGGGAGAGATACCATGACACAAACTGTGTTAAGCTTGACACATTGTCAACTTAAGCAAATAATAAAAACTAGGCTACATAGCGCGAAACAAATTAATGTCAGCTACAACAACAAATGGACACTTGCAAACCCCTTTCTTACAACTTTCAAAATGATGTAATGCATATCGAATCCCGTTTCATTGAACTTACAAACTCCTTGGCTATTTTATTTCAAATACGTGTGATTGTATTAGTTTAAAGCGTTTAGGAGGATAGCGTATTCGCCGATTGTTTTTATTTTTGTTCTAATGTAGAGTCAGGTTGAAGGTCGCATAATGCCATTCGAGCTACTTTTTAGTGGAATCTTAACAGGTTGGAAGACACATAAATAACTCTGTCATGTTTCTCTTTTTTGTTTTTAAACGATTATGTTTGAAACATGAGTCAGTGGATTATAATAATTTTGATCTATCGCTCCGAGGTGTAGCTAAAATGATTACACGCGTTGCCGTAGGCGCAGCACATTGCTATAACATAACCATTTAAGGAAATGTATCCTTAAAGTTTCACCAACATATACGTGGGATAACAAAATTGATAAATGGCGTTAAAAAGTTAATTTTTAGACATACTAAAATAATACATTGTTGGTTGTTCATGAATATTTTAATATGATTATACCTGATATTGCTTTATAACATCCACAAGATGTTTAATTATGAAACTACTAATTTACACTTCCAGAAAATCATGCTAAGGTACCGCCTACGTAGAAGCAAAATTATCAAAATGGTGCCAGAGCAAGATTTCTGAGTATGTGGACAATGTTAAAGTAATAAAATGTCGAAATAACTCTCCAAATGATTACAACACTCTTACATAAGATTAAGAGCGCCCTTTACTTTAATCTTTGTTAGTCCTCAGGACACGAAAGTCTTGACCAGGCTTTTACCATCTCTGTGCTCGCGCTCTGTGGCAAGACAAAGAGCGAATGTGGAGCAAGTTTTCAAGCCACTAACTGACGTTGCATAACGCACGCCGTTCTACGTAGGGCTGCCGATAAAAGTTTAGCTCTTCATCGAAAATGTAAAGTACATATGTTTCATTACGTACATACCGTATTTATTCTTTGAATTTTATTCTATATATATTTAAGTACCTATGTAAACGTAGACACTTCATAATTAAATTATCTGAATTAAAATCAATTATAATTTTAGTTTCAAAGTCCTATAAAACATAAAAAGCTAATTCGTTTTATAGGACTTAAAGTGGTTTATTCTATATAATCACAAACTTAATAAACACGTAATTACATTTACGACTTAATTTGTATGGAAATCAAAGTAAGTTCTCATCAATTAAAAATTAAATAGACATATAAATTAGACTTTTTGCTTGATTATAACGGAAACCGCATTCCTCTTAATAATACAATTTTCTTGTTTTTGCTAATGTGGGATTTGTTTCTTTTTCAGAGATGCATAATAAGTTCACTATAAATACAATAACATCCTGGTTATTACTATACTGATAAAATTCATTTATTATTTAAAGTTTGAAGCTTCAATACTCCATTTGTCTCTATTTTCCCGTATTTTGAGTTACATTATACAATTACAGTTTATTATTTGACACATATTTACAGTTAATTAAATAAAGTATGATGAAGCACAAACATTGGAAATATTAATTATGTAGGTACTCGCTCCAATACACGTTTAAATAGGTAAGTAACTTATAAATCCGTCCATTAAATGCCAAATTTTTACAGACCTTATTCAGCTCATTTTAAGTATATTTATTTAAATGTATATATGTATACTTCCTTTATAATCAACAAAGACAAAGATAAATATAAATATTTAAAATGTTTATCAAATTCAAATGTGAAAGTATTAACCCTAACGAATTCACGAGTACGCCAGCGCCGGCGCGCTTGCCAGTTCTCGCTCGCAGTGACCATTGGTATACGCCTACAAATCACAAACGAAACTTGTATCTATAAGTATGAGATATCTATTACACTGACCCAATTTCAAAATCACCGTTTCTCAGAATTTCCACTTCACTAATACTTTATTAGGCAGACTTGCCATATTAATATTCACCAATTACACGTTGTGTAAAAAAAGTTGTGTAAATGCTATAAAATTATGAATGTGACTACACTAATATCTGTCATCATAGTATAAGAATGAATAAAATGAATTAACCACGGTTTAAGTATAGCTTCTGCGTTATTCGTTGGTAATCTATAATTACTAAATTAGTAGGCATATTATGAACGCTGTGCTACTGTCGTATCTGAAGTTTTTAGTACATGCACTTTCGTTTTCGTTTAATCTGTTGCGGCATTTAAAACGATGGTAAAAAATCTGGTATAAAAACTATGGTCCCAAGTGAAACGTTAGTAACGTTAGCAATACAAATTTTACTCAGGGTCACGTGTTTTTAATAAATTTCCAATGGGTGCGCGCACTCTGCCTTCATGTAAAATAGCATGCCATTAAGGCCGAAAACCATCCCCAATCATTTACTTCAAATTTATTGTTACGAAAACCGCAATAATAAAAGAGCGATAGCCACGTTGTGTCGACAGACGTTGGTTCGAGTCAAGTCGTACCGAAGGGTTTTTTAGTGTTTGTAGTGATCTTTCTATCAGTAATGGTAACAAATTAGTGAAGCATTTTCACAAAAAATAGATGAATATCACGGTACTAAAATCATCGTGATAATTCAACAAAATTAAATTATGCAATATAAAATTTGTTTACCTCTAAACGTATTTAAAATTAAAGTTACTTTCAAATTGTTTTTAGAGTGACTTCATTCAGGATCTGTTTAAAGTGCTTCTTAACTGAAACCATTAATTAATCTATTGTAATTACCCGTAATTACAATCAGAGCCAAGGCCAACATTCTTAAATCTCGTTGATTCTTCTGACTGTTTTGGTTTCCTTTGTTGTGACATGTGCCTTCCCAGTTTGGACTATGGTGCGCCCACCTATTGGCAGCAGTTTAAGGTTGGACATTTTTTATAATACGCAACAAGTGAAGGAACGAACAAGTCGTGTGTCTGGTGATAAGCGAAATACCCACCCATAACAGTTGCAGTACCACTCAGAGCTTCCAATTGCAAAGGTCTAAGGAGCAGAGTCCCTTGCGTCTGTAATTTCACCAGCACCCTTACCCTTTAGAGCCGGAACGCAATAATGCTCATATTACTGCTTGGCGGCAGAAATAAGTTTGGTGGCAGAACATCTTTGAACATATCCTTTCACAACGAACTCTACTGCTGCGAAACGTTAATCAAGACCTTTGAATGTTCAAGACCATTGCTCTGTAGCCAAACGTCCAGAGAGACTGTGTGCTCTTAAAGTAGCATTTACTTTCATATCATGTAAAAACAAATATGCGTACTTAAGTTGTGGGTCTGTTCTTAAGTTTGATGAAATACTTAAACAAGGAATGTAAATTACCTTAAACATATTAGCTAATGCGTCCTAAACTTGCACTTAAATCGAGTTGTCGTCCGTATATAAATTGAAAGCGAGGACTATCGATGTCGGTCTAGGTCACTCGATCATTTGCGGGTCAAATTTGAAGAGTCAGCGACGCACTCTTTTGCGTAATGCAACAATA